ATCAGAATGACCAAAATAATTTTGAAAAAGAAGAGCGAAGTTGGAGAACTCACACTGCCTGACTTGAAAACATACCACAAAGCTCTAGTGATCAATCGGGAGAGTGCGGCACTGGCAGAAGGACAGACACAGAGCTCGGTGGAAAAGGAGCGAATCCAGAAATAGAACCAAACAGATAGGACCAACTGGTTTTGACGAAGCTGCAAAGTCAACCCAACACATACAGCACAGTCTTTCCAAAAATGGCGCTGGAACAACTGAGTATTCACGTGCACACGCCAATGAACAGTCCCGTGTTTGCCACGTTATACAACACCGTGCTCAAAATGGATCACAGATCTAAATGTAAAAGCATGAAACTTCCAGAAGAAGATATAGGGCAACATCTTTGTGACCTTGGATTGAGTAAAGAGTTTTAGATACGATATCAAAAGCACAATCCATAAAAGAAAAAAATTGATAAACTGCACTTCACCAACATTTAAAACTTTTGCTCTGCAAAAAATAGTGTTGATAGAAGAAAAAGACAAGCCAAAGACTGGGGGAAAATATTTGCAAATCATACAGCTAACAAAAAACATGTCTGTATCATGCAAAGAACTTTCAAATGGGCCGGGCACAGTGGCTCACGCCTGTAATCCTAGCTCTCTGGGAGGCCGAGGCGGGCGGATTGTTTGAGTTCAGGAGTTCGAGACCAGCCTGAGCAAGAGTGAGACCCTGCTCTACTAAAATTAGAAAGAAATTAATCGGCCAACTAAAAATATATAGAAAAAATTAGCCGGGCATGGTGGCACATGCCTGTAGTCCCAGCTACTCGGGAGGCTGGGGCAGTAGGATCACCTGAGCCCAGGAGTTTGAGGTTGCTGTGAGCTAGGCTGACGCGACGGCACTCACTCTAACTAGGGCAACAGAGTGAGACTCTGTCTCAAAAAAAAAAAAAGAACTTTCAAATGCAACAATAATAAAACAACTCAATGAAAAAATGGGTGCGACGTGAACATGTATTTCACCAAAGAAGATACACAAACAGCACATGAAAAGATGTTCAACTTCATTAACCTTTAGAGACATACAAACTAAAACCACTACATACCTATTGGAATGACTAAAAAAGAAAACTGACAGTGACAAGTACTAAGGAGGAACCAAAACAACATGCCCTGCCACACCTTGCTGCTGGGCACACACTTTGGGACTTTGGGAAAGTCTGGCAGTTTCTTAACCAAGTTGAACATATACTTAAAACACAACCCAGCACTCTGACTCCTAGGTATCTACCTAACTGAAATGAATGCCTACGTTCACACAACAAACTGTATGTGAACATTTATGTAGCAGCTTTAGTCATAAGTTCCAAAACCTGAAAACAACCCAAACACCACTAAAAGGCTAAATGGATAAACAAACTGGGGTACATCACACAACAGGATACCACTCGGCAACAGAAAGAACTATCGGTACATCCAACTCAGTGGGCAAATCTCCAGTCATTCTGCTAAGTCAGAGAAGCCAGACTAGGTAACACACACTTGATTCCACTTGCTCATTCCAGAAACAGCGAAGTCACAGAGACGGAGAACGGAGGAGGAGGGAGGGGTGGGGGCTGACTAAAGAGAGACAGCAAGAGGGAACTTTTGGGGTTGATAGAACTGTTTCCTGTGGTGGTGGCTATACAACCCTATGGATTTGTCAAAACTTACAGAAGTATAGGCCAAAAAAGTGAATTTTACTGAAAGTAAACTAAATGAGTTTAAATAAATAAAACCAAATACTCATGTGACATATTATTGAAATAAGACTCCATATATGAATGAATATAAAAATGGAAGAAAAAAGGTTAAGATCATTACAGTAGATACCAATTAATAAACGTAGAAGGAATGATAGAGTTAGAAAATCCGTTTTGGAATCTTTACAGTAATAACTGATTCAGGCACGATTCATCAATAGATGCTAGAATTAGTGGGTGAAAGTTTAAAGATGCAGGATATTTACACAGTCTCAAAGCATCTTCCCAAAATTGGTCATCATTTACAAAAGGAAAAATAACTAAATTTCCACTGCGCACGCCTGGTAGAAACCACCTTACGCAAGTGGTTCAAGTTAACATCACCAGTTATGGGACAGAACGACACCATGGCCTCCTGATACGATGCTCTGAGATGGACACATTGTCACTTCTGTGTTACTCTTCTCAAAAATACCTGATCCCAACACAGCACAAGAAAACATCAGACAATCCCAAATCAAAGGAAATTCTACAAAACGACTGGTCTGCACCCTTCAAAAACATCAAGGTCGAGAAAGACTGAGAAACTGGCCCTGATTAAAGAAGACCAGAGGGGCATGAAAACTAAACACAGGGGTGACCCTGGACTGGGCCTTGGACCGGGGCAAAAACACTGAAAGGGCACCATCGGGTCAAAGACGAGACTTGAATATAAACTGTGGATTAGAATATACCACCGCATTACAGTAAAGCGTCCTAGCTTTGACCACTGCTCTGTGGTCAGGTAAGACGCCTCCCTCACCTGCTGCGTGCTGGCGCGTTCTGGGACAAAGGGGTGTGATGCGATGCGGTGTGTTTACACCAGAGAGAACGGAAATGACGCAAATGGGGCACAAAGCTGAGAGCTGGTAAATTTGGGTAAAGGGCATATGGGGAGTTTTTAATATAATTATTGCAACTTTTATGTACACTTGAAATTACATCAAAATTTAAAATAACAAAAAAACCCCATAAGGATGAAACTTTCAGAACCCAGCACAATTTATTTCAAAGCTAGTAGAATTTGACCTATATTTTTAAATTCTTGGCATTACTAATGTACACTGAGTGATTTTCAAAAAAAAATTAAGAATGCTCAGTTTGCACTCACTTCTCCATTTAGAAACCAATGGGCCTAATGATTTCAGAGGTGTATTTCACCTCAGTATTTCCTCTAGCTATGGAAAATACCAAGTCATCATCGGCTTAAATCATCTTTTGTTCTGTTTTGCACTGTTCTCAAAATACAGATAAAAGACACAAGAAAGAACCAACATTTACAACACAGCACATGAGGAACCCTGAGCACACATCCCACAGGACTTTAAGCATTAGATGACATGCATGCTAAAAGCTACTACTAGCGCATTGCAAGTACATGAAAAAATAATGCACTAAGATCTGTGCTGTCATTTACTCATGCAACTTAACTTTGTAATTTTATATGCAGGAAGACTTTTTTACTATTTAAAAATAAGGAATGGGCTCTGGAAAAAAAATGCTGAAGAGCAAGTAGTAAATTGAAGGTTAAAATGTCTGGATGAAGGAAAAGTCTGGGATGAAACTACATTTGAGAACCACGGACAAGTACCTGAAACGGTTGCTGCTGGGATGAAAAAGCAGCAGAAACCTTTGGCGGAAGCTGGGTTGCTATAGCAACGGGGGTCCCAGTCTGCCCATCCTTTCCTGTCACAACCTTTACCTGAGAGGAAATATTTTGAGAAAAAAAGGCAACATAATTTTTAAGACTGCTCAAAATTTTGTTAGAATCTTATTGCTGATAGCTCACTGATGTTTGGTGTTTAAAAACGGAATGTTTTTGCGACAAATCCTGTAAAAGGACACTGAACTGACAGATTTATAACACAACGACCTAACTCAACTGCAAATCTTGCGGGAACACCAATTTACGTCAAAGTGCAATATCCTTGGACTCGGCTACTTCAAATTTTAAAAATGGGAGTGGCGGACAGATTCAAGTACACAGACAACGTGCACAGCCGCCCTCCGCTGCGTGCAGGGTCAGACCCAGGTCTGTTTCAGCAGGTCATACAGAACTTACTCCTCTTTGTGAGCATAGATGAGGGGGTTGAGCTTACAGACAACATTGGTGCAACAAACAGAATAGAATTTTTCCATTTCAGGACAGTAGGAATGAAATCCTCAAAATAATCATATGCACGTTCTGAAAAACAAAAATGGTCCATCCTGGAAAGGATGTTAAGAAAACACAAATGGCAAAGCCAAACAGATATATTCGTAACTGTCACTGAGGACGGCTTGAGCAAAGAGACTAGCTTTTGTTCACCAAAAGCTGATTTCTTTGCAGAAGAGCTGACAAAGATTCATTTTAGCTACATCATTAAACAAAGTAAGCTCCACCGACATAGTATACACTACACGACACAGAGGCACAAAATACAGTGCATCACAGTACAACTCACTACTGCCCTGCTTTTTAGGAAGTGCAGATAAAAGGATCTCGGGTATCGAGACATCTCAGGGGACTGATTATGCACCCATTCCAGGCACCCAAAAAGTACACTGTCTAAAAAAGATCCTATCTGAAATATCACTCAATAGTTATTTGCAAGTTTAAAATATGATCTCAAATCTAAGACATCTAAAAATTGAAAACATTCTCATAGTTTTTTGCCATAACTGTATTTTAATCATGAAGATTCCATACAAATATATCTAGAGGTTTATAATTATGGCTGGCATACTCTTAAAAACCTGGTGATTTAAAAAACAGATCTGTCTGAAAACCACGTTTATGTTATTTTTATGGAGACCTACAGAAGTAAAATGTGAAACTGGGGAAAGGTGCGAAGCGTCACACGTGTGGCCTCGGCCCAGGCAGGGCTCGGAACCTCTGCCCGCTGCGGCGTCGGCCGGCGCCCACGGGCGCAGACGCAGAACGTGGCTAGGCTCGCTGAGCTCGCTGCAGCCGAGAGGAGCCCCTGGGTTCTCAAGGAAAACACGGGGTGCTGAATGGCTACTGATCGCAGCACCAGTCTGCCCCTCGGACACGCGCCGTGCTCAGCAGCTCTTGCTCTCCACCAAGGAGAAAAGCAAAAGACAGTCCTTGGTTTTACTCAAGCATCAAATCCTTATAAAACCAAAATCTTAAAAATGCCCCAGGTTCACAAGTTACTTTTCAATTTACTGTTACACAGACTCTAATTTGCTTCATGCAGGTCTTCTAGGTCATCACACTACTGTTTCTCACCTCATCGTTGATGACCTCAGACTTTTCTTCCTCCTCTTCCTCCTCCTCCTCCTCTTCTTCGATGTCCAAATCATTCTGCCTAAGATAGGCCTGTAACGGGGCATAATGTTTCTTCTTGAAAGCCAAGAAATCCATCATATTCCCTTGAAGATGCTGCAGGAAAAACAGTTCGACCAAGTATTCCTTGAAGACCTCCTTCAGAGCCTCCATCTCTCTGTAGTGATAATCCAGGCACTGCTTCCTCATCTGCGCCATCTCCGGAGACGCCGGCGGGATCTCCTCTAACTTCTTGGGGGCCTTCCTCACTCCGGTGCTCCCCGAGGACGCGAGTGGAAGGCTGGAAAGGCCTGGGGGCATGGCGGTCCTGGAAGGACTGGTGGGTGGGGGCGGGGACGCCATCCCGAACGCAGACGTGCCCCCGACCCCGGGGAGCAGCACGCCGGTGGTCCTGTCGAAGCCCAGAGGTCTGGCCAGCGGCTGCCCCTGCAGCACCTGCTGCTGCTGGATCAGCTGGCCTTGGATGATGCTGCTGATCTGGGGGGGCAAGCTGGCCGTGGCGATGTGGCCCGAGCTGGCCAGGGGCTGCAGGCCGGCCCCACCAGCGGCCGCAGGGCTCTGGGGTCCCAGGTGGTGGATGGTGCCACCCGGCTGTGCATGAGGCTGGGACAGTCTCCGCTCTCGCGCCGCGATGGGGGTTCCCGCATGCTGGAGCTGCACCTGGGCTCCCTGGGCGATCTGGGTGAGTCCCGAGCCCTCCTGAAACACGAAGTGTCCCCCACTGGACGGGCTCAAGCTGATCTGTCTCACGAGCACGCTGGCATCCACGAACCCTCCCGTGGGACTGCTGCTGCAGATGCCCAGCCCGGGGCCGGGGGCGCCCGCGCGCACATTCGGCAGGGCCTGTCCCGGCCCGGGGCTGGGCTGCGTGGGGCTCTGCGTTTGGACCTGCTGGGACAGGGGTGAAGTGACTTGAATGTACGACGGAGACCCGTGCTCAAAGCGCCTCGGCTGCGCGCTGAACTGGAACCCCGGGGAGGTGGGGCTGGGGAGCGGCAGAGGGGCCAGCGTGATCTGCTGGTTTCCTGCGACGACAGGGCCCACGCTCTGCAGGGTGATGTTCACGTTCTGCCCGGCCACGGGACTCCGACTCATCAGCTGCTGGATCTGGTAACCGGGGGACTGGGGTGCAGAGGGGCTGGCCGAGGGGGCGAAGGGTGCAGCGGGGGACGGGGGTAGATTTGCGTGGGCCGGCTGCTCCTCTCCCTCGCTGCCGGTGAAGGACCTGGTCCTCTGCAGCTGGTGCTGGACATTCTGAGGGCCGCTGCCGTGGTGCATTATTGCCTCCCTTTTTTATCCGATGCGATGTTCTCCTAAAGATCAGAATTAAAACCAAGTTACTTGAAGGCAGATACAATCATTGGATTACCACTTAGTGTGATTACCATTTAATGGCATTGGAAAGGCGCCATGAAGGCAGTTCCCACTGGCATCTGAGGCAGACGCCAGAGCGTCTTATCAACTCACACCACACGAAGCCGGGAAAGGTCACTGGAGACATCTTCGTCTGCACAGACAGAAAACCTGCCCCCTCAGTCACTGCTGTGCCGCGGGCCCAGGACACGGCAGGTCAGCCAAGCCAGCCACTGCAGAACGTCCGGAGCATCACTGGTGACAGCTCACCTGTGCAGGCCGAGCCTCGTCCCTGGAGTCCCCACATACCGCCAGTGAGGTAGGCGCTGCTCCTGCCCCACTTGAGGGGACAGGAGACTGAGCCACAGAGCAAGGTCTGAACCCAGACCCACACTCTGGACCAGGAGGCCCTTTCCCAGCCGCTCTGCGGCAGAGCCGCCTGTCTGCCTCTCCCGTGCAGGGACGGCTTCCTGCTCGCTGCCACCCAGCGTCCAGGAGGCACTCGATGACTACTGCCGCGTGGCGACGAGCAGGACTACCTCGCCAGAAGCGAACACCCAGCCTCCCTCGCTGGCGGTTCTTACCAACGTCCAGGCTGCCTCGGATGCGGACACACAAGCCCAGCGGCGTCCGAGCCTGTGCTACCGCGGCAGAGTGGAGACGGGGGCTGAGACAGCCCTTGCCCCGGGAGGCAGCCGGCCTGTTCCCGGAGCTGGGATAAAACACAAAATGAAGTCTTGGAGCAGAAGGCAGGGAATGGCCTCAGACCTCAATATTCTCAACAAGAGCACAGGAAGGGGAGAAACTTCCAGAAGAAGGTCTCAAAGGGAGAGAGAAATGACCAGGACCTGGCTCTCACCGCGAGAGTCCCCTTCGGGGGTGTGCAAACTCCCTGGGGGTCACAGCACAATTTCAAAGAAGCTCTTAACCCAAACCCTGCTTAGCGCACACGGATGAGAGACAGAGGTGGGCGGGTGGAAGGGACCCCTGAGGACGGCATCGCGTGAGGCCAGGTCAGACCTGGGCGAGAAGCACAGAGTCTGCAGGGAGGGGAAGGGCTGAAGGCTGAGACCACCACCACTGCTGTCCCCTCCGTCTGCTGTCCCCACTGTGGCCAGGCTGTGGCACGAAGTCATGCAAACGCAATGGCACCAACACCGGCTCAGAGCCAGGGCTCCAAGAAAGGGGGACAGCGTCCCGTGTAGAAAGAGTGCAGCTGCTGCTCAGATCCAGCTGATTTCTGTCACGAAGGAGCAAAAACCCCATTCAGGTTTTCTAGAGAGGCAGATGGAGAAAGCGGCACAACTGAGCACCTGGCCAGCAACACCACCCCACGTTCCAGTCCACACTGGGCCCCACTGCGGACGCCGGCCCATCACTGAGACTGCTAAAGCCCGTCCTGACACACCCAGCTGCCTGTCTCCTTGGGTGCCTTCCACCCCGAGCCTGCCTGGACAGGGACAGGGATCAAAGCCTCTTCCTGTTCCCCCAAGACAAGGAGGAGCCCCTTTTCGTCTCAAGGGCATCACTGGTTGTCTTTATGAGAAATGGACAAGGGGTAAAATAATCATGAACCTAAAGAAGTTACAAAACTTCCAAGGCTCTTACAGTCCCTGGCTGAAATACAGGTACATACGAAATCAAAAACCACAGAATTTACTAGTGCACAAGTATATTCCTAACATTAACAAATAAGTGCATATTTAAACCAGCAGGACAAAGGCGGGTTCTGCGCGGATGGTCAGTCTCTGAAGATGGAGAGAGGCAGAAGGCAAGGGGCAAAGCCACAGCAAAAAGATCTTAAGGGAGGCCAGGGGCAGTGGCTCACGCCTGTAATCCCAGCACTCTGGGAGGCCGAGGTGGGAGGATCCCTTGAGCTCAGGAGTTCGAGACCAGCCTGAGCAAGAGTGAGACCCCGTCTCTACTAAAAAGAGAAATTGGCCAAACAACTAAAAATAGAAAAAATTAGCCGGGCATGGTGGCGCATGC